TAGAATCTAAGCTGAGAGAAAGCACAGAAATAAGGGCATCTGACAATTTTGAGAAACTAAACCACCATGATGAATTCCTGGGGAAACCATGGGTGCTGGAATGGGAACAAAATGGCAAGCAAGAGCCAAAGAGGGCTGAGCACTGCAGGAAGAATACAGGTTGGCAAGGAACTCTGTCCTTTTCTCTCTCCTCCATACTACCACTGGCAGATTGTGGCGGGCTCCAATGTACTGTGAGGTAGAAAATACCAGAAGAGTGGGATAAGTGTTCAAAAAAGGTATAGGCAGACCTTCCAGCCCTTCCTTGCTCCCTCATACTATGAGGCTAAGTGGTACAAGGCTTAGGCTTAGTGGTAACAAGTAAGGAAGACAAATTCTGGGGAAAAAAAGCAGTGTCTAGAGCAGAGGTACAAAAGGATTTCCCTGAAGGCCAGCTAGTAAGAGCTGACAGGGAAATAAAACAAGATCACCGAGGAAAGCAACACCTACTAAATACAATAAGCTAAAAACTGACCCTACATGGAGAATTAATAAACTAGATGGAACAGTAGAATATGCATTAGAAAAGTCCACACACAAATAAAAATAAGTAAAATAAAAATGATTATGTATAAAAAAACACTTGAAAATATTATGTATAAAAATACAGTCACTGCCATAAAGAATTCAACACATAGGTTAAAGAGCAGTATGTATATGCGTATGTATTCATTCAAGAATGAATTCATGAGCTGGAAGATCAAGTTGAGGAGTCTTTTCAGGAGGCTTCAAGAAGGAGATGGGGGGAAAAAAAAGAGAGAGAGAGATGGAAAACACAGAAGTGTCAATACCTGTATACTAGAAGTTCCATAAGAAGAATAAATAATTTTAACAACAATTAAGAATCCTTCTGTGTTAAAGGAAATTGGAAGATTTCTCAAAGTATTATAGAAAAAAAAAAAATACACATTTAAGATACATCACAGTAAAACTTAAGAATGCTGAAGACAAAGTGAAAATTCTAAAAGCAGACCCCATAAAGGAACAAATCTAAAGTAACACAAAGCTCTGGGGCACCTGGGTGGTTTAACCAAAGGAGCCACCCAGGTGCCCCAGGGCTTTGCAGTTCTTAAGCTGCAACAAGGGCACAAGTGGAAAAGGAAGAAATACTTTCAAAACTTTATAGTTTCAAAGTTCTTTTCCTTGAATTTTGTATCTATCCAAGCTATCATTTAAATGTGAGGAAATATTAAAGATATTCTTAGTACTTCAAGGCCTCATAAGGTTTACCATTTTAAGACCCTCTTGGTGAACATTCCTCAAGTACTCCTGGAAAAAGGAAAGTAAATCTAGAAGGATTATGAGATACATGGGAAGTAAGGTTGAAAAAAAAAAAACTCAATAAGGTTCACTGTTATCTATAAATAAGCAATATATTCAGTACTCTATGTATATTTTAAATAACCCAGAACTAAAATTCCAGACAGTATGAACATGGTGGGAGGGTGGTGGGGGGGAGAGGAAGAGGAAAAAGATGGCAGAGACAAGAGGAAATGTGGCTTTGGAGGGAAAGAAAAAGATACTGATAAGTTCAGGATACTCAAAGGAAAAATAAACTAAGGAACAACCCAGAAGAATAAAAATCAAATACATGTGTTCAAACTTACATTTAGCCATCTAAAAGAAGGGAAGAAAGGACAGGGGAAAGAATAAACTAAAAATACCATGAAATAAGGTTGCAAAAATAAGCCCTTGATACAATAATAATTACAGGAAATATAAATAGTTTCATTGGGGCACCTGGGTGGCTCAGTCGGTTGAGCGTCTGCCTTTGGCTCAGGACATGGGGTCCTGGGATCAAGCCCTGTGTTGGGCTCCCTTCTCGGCGGGGAGTCTGTTTCTCCCTCTGCCCTTCCCCCTGCTTGTGCTTGTGCGCTCTCTCTCTCAAATAAATAAATAAATAAAATATTTAAAAAAGAAAAAAGAATCAGGGTGCCTGGGTGGCTCAGGTCGTTGAGTGTCCGACTCTTGGTTTTGGGTCAGGTCATGATCTCGGGGCTGTGGGATTGAGTCCGCATCAGGTTCCACACTCAGCGGGGAGTCTGCTTGAGGATTCTCTCTTCCCCCACTCATGTGAACGTTCTCTCTAAAATAAGTAAATAAATCTTAAAAAAAAGAAAAAAGAAAAAAATCTCTATGTTGTCTACAAGGGATTCACTAGAAAAGGATACAGAAGGAATGAAAAGAAAGAGATGGAAAAGAATACCAGGCAAATACTGAAGGGGGAAAATGTCTCTTGGCTTTTAATGCAGTTTTGATAGAGAAAAAAAGAAATCAGCATCCTGATAAAACATAATGATCATGAACATATATACCTCTGATTACACAGCTTAAAACTATAAGACGCAATAACTGGTGGAAGTATAGGGAGAAACTGATCAACAAATAACACATCTTTTCAGAAACTGGAAGCTAAGCAAAGATATGAAAGACCAGAATAACATAATAAACTCAAATGAATACATACATATAGAAAATTTTTCATTCAACAGTAAATACAGTCTTTTCCAGCATACACAGAACACTTAATTAACAGACTGTTTCAAAATAACACTTCAGTGAATTAGTATACTCTTATCCAAATGCAAAAGAGAGAGAGAGAGAAAGAGAAAGAAAGAAAAAAAGAAAGAAAGAAAGAAAAAGACAGAAAGAAAGAAATCCAGAAACATTTAAGTATGACTTGAAAAAAGTCTCTCATCTAACCCTAAGTCTAATCATATTGGATGGACTAGAAACAAAGACAAGCACTATAAAACAATCTTTGGCTACTTACATCATGAACATATGAAGGAAATTATGATATACGTAGAGATGACTGACAGAGCACTACGTATCAACAATTTAACAGAGTTAAATGATACTGAGAGAAACTCATAGCTTTAAAGCACACTTACTGAAAAGCACAGAAGGATGGAAGCAAATGAGATAAGTATTAAAAGAAAAGCAACAGAGTAAACCCAAAGATGGGAGGAAGGAAATCATAAAGGGCAGAATAGAGAATGAAAATGCAACAAAAACAATTAAAAGCAAAAACTTATTCTTTGAAGAAAATCAGTAATGCAGACATACTGATCAATTTATTCCAGGAGCGTATTTTAAAAAGAATAAATTGTGATCAAATAAGACTTATCCCAAGACTACAAGGACAGTTAAATGTAAGAAAAGCTAGTATAATTCACTACATTACTGGTCTAAAGGAAAGAAATCACGTGATCATCTCACAGACTCAGAAAAGGCATTTGATAAAGTACAACATCTACATTTGATTTTTAAAAAGCAGAAAATTGGGAACAGAGGAGAAACTCCTCACTTGATAGCTAAAAACAAGGAGTAAGCCATCCTATTTAATGAAGAAGCTACCAAAGCATTCCCTTTACAGTCCAGTATAGACAAGGCCTCCACTGTCATCACTTCTGTCTACCTGGGACTAGAGTATGTAGTTGTGAGACAGGAAAAAAGAAAGAAAAGATAAAAGGATTGGAAGAAAAGTGACACAATTGTTACTTCTTTGCAGATAATATTACCATCAATAGATAAACATTAGAATATAAGAATTCAGTATGCTGTTGAATATCAGATCAATCAGAAAAATGAATACTGAGACATTCTGCTCAGTAAAAGCTAGCTCTCTCCTTCCATTTGGGATGCTGTATTTTTATGGGCCTCAATTCTCCTCTAACTCTCCATTCTTATTCAAGATCATTTTTCTTCCTTCCACTTTCTATTGGTAAATGTTCCCCACAGCTCAGTTTTTCCCCTTCAGCTCTTTACATACTTTAAAAAATCTGATGCTCCTCCAATTTGTCTCCAGGCTTGCCTTCACATCCAAGTTCCAGTTCTATATTTTCATCTGTCCCCAGTGTTCACTCAAATTCCTATTCATCATAGCCACTACCCCCTCCTAAAACCAGAATCCCCTCTGCCAACTCCTCCTTGTCGACTGGATTAGTGTCATCATCACCATTCTCCATATCATCTAAGCATGAAATCTGTATTTTTCCTTCCCTGAAGACAGAAAGCAATCAATAAGTATTTGTTGAATTAAAGACCTGCCAGTGTTTTCTCTGTCACTCCATTCTTACCACGTCAGGCTTAATCCAACTCCCCACTCCCCTCTGCTTATTAGCTTATTAGATCACTACAGCAGCCTATTCTTCCCAGCTCGGAGGGTTCCACTCAAGTAGGTCAGCGGTTGGCCTTTTCTGTAAAGTTTAACTCTAAAGCAGAACTTTGCTGTTATAGTGTGCAAGCAGCCATACACAATCCCTAACTAAATGGATGTGGCTGTCCTGCAACAAGGTATTATTTACAGAAACAGGTGGCAAGCCAAATTTGGTCCATGGGCCATAGTCTGCTGACCTATGAAGCTGACTACTAAGTTTTTCCAAATCTAAACTTTTCTTATCCCTGCTAATTCAATATAGAATCTAATTATCTGGGTAAAAGAAAATCTAATTCATTATTATTATTTTTTTTTTACATACAACACTGGTTGCCAGCTAGAAATTAAAATGAGTTACTTAGGTATGTTGCTCATTACTTTCAAGACCTTATTTTCCCTTTAAATTTACGAACCTTGGAAGAATAATTTACTGGAAATTGCATCAGTAGTAGGGTAAAGGCTTTGATCTAAGCAGGACAAATCAGAAGAGTTGGCAGCCAAGTAATCTTTCTGTCTTTTACAGAAGAATATATCAAGAATGATAGAAGCTGCCAATAAAGTATTTTGATTCAATGAAGCAGATTAAGATGACATTGATGGGCTTTTGATTTCAATAAGCAGGAAAGGCCCAGAATTCTGCTAGCTCTAGGAAAAAACAGCAACTTGGCCCCTCTAGACCTTGAGATGAAACTTAATTATAAAAGGTATGAAAAAAGCCAATACAAAGTGGTAGCTCAGATGCACCTTATTTTTTTTTTTTATTTGCAACTTTAAGGTCAGTTTATTAAGTTCAATGATGAAAGCTATCAGAAGAATATTCTCCTGAAAATTATTTTTTCTTAGAAAAAAAGAAAGAAAAATCAACACGTCAGCACAGCCACAGATGCTGTGGCAGTCATACCTCTCTGCAGATGGGGATAGTCCACTAGTCAGTCAAATCACTCTCTGGGTCAGGATTATAGTCGGGATCATCCTCATCATCCTCTAGCTCCAAGTCATCCATTTCTTGGAACAGAGATTCATCTACCTCCACATTGTTTCCAGCATCTTCCAAAAACTGGGTATCAGATGTGTCAAGATTATGATCTGTTTCAAAGAGCTGTTTCCCACTTAATTTATTTTTTCCTGCTTGTTCTTCTTCTTTCATTTGTTTCTTTTTAATTTCCAAGAGCTCTGCATCAAACTTGGCCTTCCAACTTAAGAAATTCTCAATTGTAACAGGAGTGCCATGAAATAATTGCTTTTCAGCTTCCTCTGCCTCTTTTTCTTTTTGTTTCTTTTCTTCTTCTCTTCTAGTTTTTATTTGATCTACTATTTCATTTAGTTTTTCTTGCACAGCTGTCACTAAAGTAAAGATCATCACCATACCAAGGTTTTCTTCTGCCTGTAATGCTAATAGTTTTAAAATGTCTGAGACATCATTATCTTCTAGATTTTCCTGGGAGAATATTTCATAAAGAGGAGCTTCATCTGGGTATTTTTCACTGTATGTAAACTTGAGGGTAGTCTGGACAGTTTCATCATTTTCTCCAGCCTCAGATGTCACAGTAATGGTGAAACTGGGTGGATTTTCTGATAATACTGTGAAGGAGTCGGGGTAAATGGACTCCAGAGCCTCCAGCTCATTGCGCTGCTCCTTGCCGTAATCTGTCATTGTGGCCCTCGCTACTGCCCATGGACCGCCCAGCCACCCAGGCGGCACGCTGTAGCTGGAACCGCGGCCGTACCAGGGGAGCGGGCAGCGGCCGGACGGGCGCAGGTGCAGAGTCCCCGGCTGGGAGGCTCGGGGCCCAAAGCCAGGCCGGGCCTGCTGAGCAACAGCCCCGCACGGGCCTCCGCCTGCTCTCTAGTCTCAGATGCATCTTATTGTTCTAGACCTACAGCAGTCGTTTTTTCCCCTTCATATTAAAACAGGATATGGACTTCCCCAAGTTATCTACATTTGTACCCATCCAACAGCTAACTATCTAATCTTCTCTGCCCCTCCCTTACAAACATGGAAAGAATCAGGATTTAGGAAATGAACAATAATACCTAAAAAGGAATAAAGAATACATTTGTAACAGTGGTTATGTACTTAGCTACTTGCCAAATAAGATTGTTAACGAATGACGGACTTAAAATCTTCCAATAGCTTTCCTCTACACATTAAAATAAAATCCAGGGGTGCCTGGGTGGTGCAGTTGGTTGGGCGTCTGACTCTTGGTTTCGGCTCACGTCGTGATCTCCGGGTTGTAAGACTGAGCCCAGAGCTCAGGGTTGTGAGATGGAGCTCCGTGCTCAGCATGGAGTCTGCTTGAGATTCTTTCTCCCTCTCCCTCTGCCCCTCCTGCTTGTGTTCTCTAAAATAAGTAAATCTTTAAAAGTAAAGTAAAATAAAATCCAAATTTCTCATCACGGTCTACAAAGTTCCATATGACCTGGCTCTGCTTATCTCATGGACACCCCTGCTGACTATACTCAGCATGCTGCAATCACAATGGCACTCTCTGCTCTTCTGAACATGGAATCATGAGCTGGGACTTTGCCTGTGGGTCACCACTGATTCTCTAACGCCTAGATGAGTGCTTGATACATAGTAGACCCTCATTAAAGAAATAACTAACATTTGCTGAGTAAATGAGTGACCATTTCTGTTCTATATCAGGCTACGGTAATTGGAAGTGGTGGAAAATCTCAGAATCCTAGAGATGAACCTAAAGACAGCAGGATCTTACAGAGGAACTTGCAATCCTAAATACTGGGACATGAAAAATCTAACTTTCATGAAGATTATCTGCAGAACATAAAGTTTCAGTTAAGCAAGATAAGCTCTAGAGATCTGCTATACAACACTGCACCTATAGTCAACAATAATGTATAGTACAAAAATTAAGAGGACGGATCTCATGTTAAGTATTCTTACCATAACAACAAAAATTAAAAAAAATAAAAGGATACATTAGAAACCAAAATTAGGAAGATTTAAAAACAACTGATGATACTCTGGATATATTATGAATTTGGGTTAAATAACCAAAAAACTGAGTTGTTAAAGAGATTTAGAATTACCTGGGGATGTGTGGTAAGTAAGGAGGATCCGGAAACATATGATACTTTCTCATAATGGGATTGGATAATCCAGTTGGAGCTTCCAAGGGCATAGCCTGAGCTTAGCGGAGTCACCTGGACTGCACCAAAAAGCTCCTAGAAAAGAACCACAGTAAGAATGTGTGATGAGCTTTCAGCAGTACAGTCACACCAGATAAGTCTTTGCAGGAAAAAAACCCAGAAATATCTTTATCCACTTAGATAAAGAAAATTTAAGGTAAAACAAAGTATAAAATAAAGCAAAAAAAACCAAAAACCAAAACAAAACAAAACAAAAAATGGAGACCATATGGTAGACCCAGAAAGCAATCCTAGTCTTTACTTGCCCCCTCTCTGAGTTTCAGCCACATGTACCACGACCCCAGGCCTGACTCATCAAAAGACAGAGAGAGACGATAGATGACCAGAAAGGCCAAAGAGAAAATTACCTGGGTTTTCTTTTTTTAAAGATTTTATTTATTTATTTGACAGAGAGAGACACAGCGAGAGCAGGAACACAAGCAGGGGGAGTGGGAGAGGGAGAAGCAGGCTTCCTGCCGAGCAGGGAGCCTGATGTGGGGCTCGATCCCAGGACCCTGGGATCATGACCCGAGCCGAAGGCAGATGCTTAATGACTGAGCCACCCAGGTGCCCCTTCTTTTTCTTTTTTTAGGCTAGGCATTAATCTCTTGGTCATTCTATACCGAGGGGCTCTGGGCACAAGTTAACAAAATGGGAACCCTTACTATCAGGTCAAAGTTCAAAACTTATACTTGACAAATTGCTTCTTGGTCTGTTATATGCTGTTTCCTATTTCACCTGTCCAAAACCTATAAAGTTGCACCCACTATTCTGAAGTGAATAGAGTGAGATGTCTTTCTCCTGATCATTACAAGCTGGTCAAGAGAAGGCTAACTAATGCTGGGGAATGTGAGTGTTAGGAAAGAACACCAACAAGAACCTGGAGGATGGAGGATAATGACTGTCTGTCTTTTCACCTCATACTCGTACAAGATTCTCAGTGACTGAATGGCTAAAGAAAGGGAACTATAAGATCCTCCCAAAGGGTAACAATATGAATTGGAAGCATTCATGCATCACTTAAAATCATATTAACACTCACAATTTTCTGAGAATATCCCACCAGCTGGATTTTGCTAAGGGCAGAGTTCACCTCTTGCATCGTATAGCATCTTCTCCAGGTTGATACTTCCACTGCGTCCTTGAGTGGAGAAGGCAACAGCCTGTAAATGCATCACAATATCAACTTTTTATGTTATCGAGGATTTTTCAAGTAATTTGTCCATTTCATCTAAGTTGTCCAACTTACTGGCATAGAATTGTTTATAGGATTCCTTTATCATCATTTTTATTTCTGTAAGGTTGGTAGTACTGCCCCTCTTTCATTTCTGATTTTAGTAGTTTAAGTATTCTTTTTTTCGTCAATCTAGCTAAAAGGTTTGCTAGTTTTGTTGATCTTTAAAAAAAACACACACAACTTTTGTCTATTCTTTTTCTATTTTCTATTCTGTTTATCCAGCATATAGCTGGATATTGTGTTCTGGTTTTTTTTTTAAATCTAGACTGGTCATCTCTGCCATTTGGACTATTTAATCCATTCACATTTATTATTGATACAGTTGGATTATGTTTACCAATTTAATTTTGTTTTCTCTGTATCTAATGTTTTTTTTTGTTCCTCTGTCCCTCATTTACTACTTACCCTTTGATACTAAGTGAATATTTTCTGACGCAGCCTTTTAATTTCCTTCATGGTGTTTCACTATATTTTTCTGAGTTACTTCCTTAGTGGTTGTTCTAGGGCTTATCATATACATCTTAACACAGAGCATTTTTATATGACATTTCAAATTCTCTTTCCTGTTCATGAATGATAAATGAAATACACTTCATTCATGGGCCTGCAAAGCTATAGAAAAGGACTGAGTTAAACACAGTTGAGGCTTGGCATAAAGGAGGAAAATAAAACACAATTTGTGACTTTTCTGATCAGCATCAGGAGTATCCCTTAAAACAAGCAAACAAAACTCTGTTATTAGAAAAACACTGTGTCATTTGCTCTAACAGAATCAGGAATAGACCTGGGAGAGTGACTTCCCTGAGCTTCTCTGTTTAAATAGGTCAAGGAACTTCTGGTCAACTGAAAAGTGTGCATTAGCTCTGCTCTCTCTCCTGAAATACCACTGAACATAGTAAAGGGCTTCACACACACATACCCCTTCAAGACAAAGAGAATGAAAGAAGCAACAGCAACAGCATTTTAGAAAGTGGAAAGTAAAAAGACAAATAACTGACTTAGCAGACACAGGAAAATTTAATTCAAATTAATTTATGCTGCAGAACCCATAAAAAGCTCAGCAATTTGAAACAATAGGCATGTCTGGAAGTGAGGTTGAAGGTGAGCCTAAAAACAAGGAGATTTTCTGGAAAAAAAAAAATACTGGTAAGAAATAGAACCTTCCAGTTCTCTTCACCTATTCCAGAGAGCTCAGCAAACTGTCTTTCCCCTCCCAGGCATGTTGCTAGAGGTTATTCTCTGGAGAAATTAAAAATGAAAGTCTAGACTAGGGGAAACCATCAACAACTAGCAGCAGCTTCGTTAATAAGCAGAAGTTTATATATCAGAGTAACAATTTTCTTCTCTTCATATGGCTCCCAGAACACTATCACTCAGGCTTATATCCTCCAGGGTAGGTGACTGAAAGAAACTTCTCTGAAAAATTTGATCTGCACCAAAGAAAAAAATCAACTAAAAGATACTGACACTGGAGGTTTCAGGATAAAATGGCTCACCAGATTACTTTATGGTAAAGTCTAGAATTCAACAAGACTTAACTCATGGCACACAGACTTTCTAATCAGTTTTTGACTGTCCAACTCCTAAACATGGGCCAATAACCAAGGATCACCATATACTTGAGGGAAGTCTCTAAAATGATAAAGGCCAAAACAAATGGAGGGAGGAGGAGAAGAAATAAATTCGTCTGGTAGAATAAAACTTTAAAAAATACTACCATTACTATCCTTAGAGAGATAAATAAGACTAAGAAATGAGAAGTGACTTCTATTAAAAAAAGAGGAGCATTAAGAGAATAAAAAAGCTCTTGGGCAAAAAAATATGACAGCACACAGACAACAAAAGCATGCCAACAAAACCTATCAAAATTTCAAAATAAGTTAAAAACATAAAAAAAATTATACAAGACACAAAAGAGCCACATAAAAATCAGAAGAGCTTCAAAACAAGGTGATAGAACTTAATAAAGAATTAGAAATTTGAAAAATCTTTTCAGAAATGAAGACTAATAGAAATATGAGTGGATAAACACACAACAGCTAACGCCATAAGAACAACACAGGAAGTAAAGATTAAATGCTAAAAAGAAATGAAGAGATAAAAAGAATTTGAAAGAAAGTGGCCGATAATGAAGACAGGCATGGAAGAAGCAACATACAGAGAACAGCAGTCCCTAACAGAAATCCAAGCAAGGGAACAGCGCAAATACTAAAAACTCTAATTGCTAAAATAAAAAGAGGCTTGAAATTACATACTGAAAGGACATAC